GGCCGCCCCGTCGCGGCGTGGCCCCTCACGCTTCCCCGCCTCCCGCAGCCTTTGTCCGGCCGGGGAGCGCGGGGGGAGCCCCCGAGGGGTGCGAGGGGCCGCGCACGTCTTCCTCCCGCCGCCTCACCCCGGACAAGGAGGGGGGGGGTGGATTCTGGGGGGGATAAAATCGGGATTGTTTATAAACCAGGGATGAAAATGGTGATTTGTTTGTAAGCAGCAGCGGTGCGTGGGAGGGGGCGGGCGCTGGCGAAGGTGGGCCGCCCGCCCTGCTGCTGCCGCGACGGCAGAACCGGCCTCCCCCCCGGAGCCGGCCCTGCCGCTGGCTACAAACCCCCGTGCTCTTCTTCTACACATCTGTTTAAAATATTTTTTTTCCGTGACCAGGCCAGAACCACGCTCCGAAGGGTGTTTTTTTTTTTTCAAGAGTCGTTTTTGATGACTGTTGAAACGCCGCTGTGATTAAGCCTGCGCGAGAATTCCCACAGACAGGGCCCGGCGGCCAAAATATTCACCCGATGGTCTCACAAATCAGAAAGGGTTGGCTTCTGGCTTCGCAGGAAGAGCTGCAAGTGGAGGAATGCCCTTTGAAAGGCTGAGGTATGCGCACAAAAATGAGAAACATCCACAGGTGTTTCTGCTCATAAAGGGCTTCCTGCTGCTGGCAGCTCCGAAGGGAATGCTGACACAGAAACGTATAATGACATTATTTTAAAGGGTTTCGCTATTCTAGATGAACAACAACAAAACCTCAAACCACCAAGCGGAATCACTTGAAAGGTGGTTGTGTTGTTTATCAACACACAGCTGAGTGGTTTTTTTAAATGTGTGCCAGGACTTGACCGTGAACAAAGAACAACAACTTTTCATGTTGACCACGCCAACCTCGTCAAGTTCGACCAGGCCAAGTGCAAGGTCCTGCCCGGGCAATCCACTGAATTTCACTGAATTTTTAGAGTTGGAAGGGACCATAGAGATCATCTAGTCCAACTCCCCTGCTAAAGCAGGATTGCCTAGAGCTTGTCAGAGCATGTTACTCAGGACTGCAAATACAGGCTGGGAAGAGAATGGATTGAGAGGAGCCCTGAGGAGAAGGACTTGGGGGTGTTGGTTGGTGAGAAGCTCAAGGTGAGCTGCCAATGTGTCCTCGCAGACCAGAAAGCCAACCCCATCCTGGGCTGCATCAAAAGACACGTGGCCAGCATGAGGTCGAGGGAGGTGAAAGGTCCATCTGACAAAGAAAAATATCTCTGTCCACTTTCCACTGCTCCCAGCATCATGGAGGGCATTTATAGAAGGCTGAGAACAGGGAGAACGACGTCAGGGCGGTATCATTTGGTTGTGCTGGGGTGAGGTGAGCACCTTCTAGGACCAGAAGCAATTTCTTGTTCTCAGAAAGAGATTTTAAAGGAAGACTACTTCATAGCGAAGAACAACAAAAGATTAGAGCTAAGGGCCTAGCCACAACAATGCTCCATAGAAAACGCTGTATCAGCACCACATGATGGCAAAATCATCTCTAACCAGATTTTTTTTTTTTGAAAGATGGTTTTGAGAAGCATGCAGGATTGATAAAATTATGTTAAGTATACAAGCCCTGAAGTGCTAATCTTCAGGCACAGTTCAAGGAGGAAATCCCGCTCCCTGTGCACTAGTGTTTTGAAACTCACTATAATCAGGCATCTCTGTCTCCAGAAGCTTAATTAGCAGTTTAGAAACAGTAATTATCACACGTAGAGCACTAGAGGAAACTTAATACAGAAAAAGGCACATACTTAGGACAAGCATTTAAACTTCTTTACCTCTAGACTACCTCGAGAGAAATCACTTCAAAACAATTAACAGGGTATCTTATATACATACTGAAGATGTCTCTTGTTGAACTCAAGCTGCTAACTGGCTGAACATGAAGAATGATAAATCTTCTACGTGTTTTCCAGCATGTAACCAGCCTACCAACTTCAGAGCACCTCCAAAAGAGCCTGGACATACCTCGTGGCAGCAGGGGAGCTGCTGAGTTGGGCAGACCCCTGGTTCTGGAAAGAGGGGAGGCTGGGAAGATGTCTTCTCATCTCTGCCCTGTGTTATCCTGTAATGGCATTGAGGGGTAGTCTCCCCCTCTGGGCATTAGCAACCCCTGAGCACCATCTTCTCCTCTTGGCTCTGCAAAAGGATGTCCTCCAACCTTTGCTGACATTAATAAAAGGCTTCCCAATGACTCCACTGTTAGCTGGACAGGGCTTTTAATTTCTGATTCCCTGCCATCTCCCTTTACTTATCTCACCACTAGTCAAAATGACTTAATATTTTTTCCTCCTTTAAACAGAAATCTTTTCACACTTCTAATCAGTTTCATTGCCACTTTGGGATGCTTTTTCTGCTAAGCCTTTTTTCTGAGAATGGCCTGAATACTAAATGCAATATTAAAAATGGATTTTCAATATCAAACTCTGTCCTCCTTTGACATAGTGCCATGTCTTTTCCTGACCGCTCTATTAGCACACATTAGGTCTATTGTAGTATTGGCATATAGTTACACATACGCTATTAATGACTATAACACAAATAAACACGTGCTTGCTTTCTTTTTCAAAAATGTTACCGATGTTTACATTGCTACTTATCTCCACACAAGCCACTTTATAATCTCCTTTGGGGCTTCTGATTTCTGGCACTATCTGGCACTGGAGAATTTATCACAGAGCTCCTAGAAGGCTTGTTCCTCTCCACACAGACTGCTGGTCTCTGTCACATGAGGACTGTACTCAACGCTCCCTGTTGCAATATAAAGCTTGCAAAAAGCATAACGCAGGAATGCCATTATTCCTAGGCAGCACACAGCATATCTTATGGCCCCTTCAGTTATATCTGCCTCGTTAAGGT